CTACATTTGACATGGGTGTTAAAGGGGAGCCGAGGTCTGGCTTTTATCACTCCGTACATGAAATTTGAGATCTATGAATGAATTCTAGGGTAAAAAACATCTTATATGTGCTGCGAAATGCTCTCAATATCGAGTATAAAACGGGCTGTGAAGTAGACGACAAACGTCCACTTTGCATGGTGTTATTTCGCCTCTAGAGGGCCAGTCAATGATGTCATCAGTTAACACTGATAATTGAACCCATTCATTCTAGTATGTCAATCCCATAGAAATGCTACTATGAAAGACCTTGTTAACTGACTACTTAAAAGTTTAAACATGGTGAGGTGTTGTGCGTATGAATGCCATAACGATTCTTGTTTCTCAATATCCCGAATGAAAAATGTTATGGTGCCCGCTGTAGATGACCCATTCGACGGCTCGGTCAGATACAATTCCATTTACACTTGGGTACTTTAACACACACACACCTTTTACTGCTATCATTCCTTCACTTGCGGAACATACCTGCATTTCTGAGGAATTTTTTATTGTAATCTATGACCACTCTTGTTTTAGGATTATAAAAACCATCTCCACAATCGTAGCAACCTTCAGGAATTTCACGTGGAGGAACGCGATTTGTTAACTGTGATCGACCTGTAAAGATATGAACGATATTGAACAATATTAAACAAAAATTAAATCAAGTTAAGCTACACCAAAGTAAAATGTACTGTGTACTTGACTCAAACCAATGCTTGTGTTGAGAATTGAGAAAGTTCCATTTTCTAACTGATCTTTTCTTTCGGCAGAAACATAAAGCCAATTATATCTTCAGGCAAGAATTAATATTTAGATTTTATTTTCAAGTGTAAATGGACAACTCATGAATTATTTGATTAATAGTATTTTGTCATACATGGTAACTGACTTGTACATTTACTACAAAAGATCATTTTGTATTTTTATTGTCAAACAACTCATAGTTGAAGGTATTATAATAATTGACTATTGAATTTTCATAACGTATGTATACTGATACTAAATGTGAAGAATGTTGAGCTTTGAGAAAAGACGTTGATGACTGCCAAAGATGTCACAATTATTGAACACCTTAAGGTAGCGAGAGGGGAAACATAATTTATAGTTTAATGGAGTTTAAAACTTTCCTCACCAGTCACTAAGCATGCAGTTATGGCACTGTATATGTTTTCAGAAAGCTGAGATATAGCAGAATGCGATCATATATGTTTCGTCTTGATATTTGCTCAGGAGATTAAGTTATGATCGTTCTCGTTAACCTCCTAAACGGAGAGTTTTTTTGCGGGATTGTCAGTTTCTCGGTGTTCCTTTTTTCTATGTCTCTGATCTTTTCACTGTTTCTTTATAAGATAATGGTCTTTGAGAATGCGTCTCGAAATTTGTATGTGCCCCATAGTTCTGGAGATAAAGCCTGTTGAACTTTATGGACTCAATTTTACAAACGTCTTCCTGTTCCCAAGGCTGTAACTCAACGTCAATGGCTCACATAAATGTCCATGAGACATCATATTTTAGCCCATTTTGTGGCGAATAGATTGTGTAATTTGTACATCGTTAGCATAGAGAAAAGTGTTGAAAAATGACATCTTCAATAGTTATGATAGTCAAAAAATAGTTTCCGTAAAAACTCAATAAAACGTTTTTGAATTTGGCCACAGATAAACAGCTAATTAATGACAAAATGTCGACCATTTTGATCATACTTTGTAAATATACAAGTATCTGATATGCGTGAAATGTTAGATCGTGAAAAATTGGTTGGTTGTTTCCTAAAACGTGACAAAACTTAGCAGTTTCGTCGAAAATGGATGTTAACTTGAGCAAGATGGCGTACCGCGCAATTAATTTATTCAAGTCCCTTTGTTATGTTGAACAGCGTCAACAGTACAATCGGTTCTCTAAACATAGGGCGGGCCTTCATGACAGCATATATTTACTTACGGCATATACATGCCCTCAAGTACAGATATGTTTGCATTACTCTCAGCCTATGGAGAGTGTACCGTTATCGAATTTGCTATAATCAGTTAGCTGTTTGAATTACGTGTGGCATTGGGTAATGACCTCCAAAGTTCACGCCATGATATTTGAATTCGGACCACCCAGCTTGACCCGTCGACAGAAACCGCTATATCCACTGGTTTTTTTTATCCGTGTCACCACTCTCATCTATCTCTGCCAATTCTGTTTTGAGTTTTCTTATTTCATCGTCGGCATCTTGAAATTCTTGTTCTAATAGTCTTTTAGCAACGTCTAAAACTTTCCGAGTGTTTTCTCTGAATGTGGTTCCAGATATACCAGTAATAGAGGAGGCGGTAATCCCATATAGCTACTAAATTTACACATTGCACGACGACCCTTTCCAATGCCACGAGCCGCGATCACCAGCTTACGATTCACATCAAAAGAATGTCCACTCTTTTTTGACGCAGGAAATTTTTTTTATTCCACTCTGCAGGCTGACTATAATATGAGCCCAGGTCACTTTCATTTAGATATCTTTTAATGGCGACAGACATTTTTCGGCGGCCAGTTTTTTTCATCTTAGGTTATTAAAACACCGAGAAAAGCTTGAAATACTATAGTGTAATGTTTGTTTGTACTTCGATCGCGTAACGGACACTACTTATAGATTACACAGGATATAATAAAGCTGGATGGTCAACAAATCAGTATGCAAATTAAATCCTCTGTCTTCAGTCTGTCATTCAACATAATATGTAAATGCGTGAAGGACGTGTTCACCTACAACTAAGTTTCCGGGAATAAAATGAAATTACGCAACAAATGCACCGCGCACTGTAAATTCGGACCAAAGATAAAGAAAGTACACAATATAAGGTTGCATAATCCGGGATTTTTAGAAAAAAGATTTTTTTTCTAGTTTTTCCCCTCTCGCTACCTTAAAACACCTGTCTGTTTGTAAGTACATTTAATTGTGAAAATCTTGTGGTTAGCGGACTTGAAATTCAAAACATCTATTGGTGTGCTTCGAAATAGACGATAATAATAATTGTTTATTTAACATATAGGTACAGTCTGTGGAGCACTACCTTGTGTCAAGAGATACGTCTTTCAGTGGAAGAAATTGGTTGAAAGACCATTCTAATGTTGGATTTGATATTCAACATAACTCTTGGTACACAACCACAGTCCACTAGATTACCAAGCCATCACAATTTTAATAAATCTTAGATGCAAATGACTTGATAACTTGTTGAAAGTGAGAGAACCACAACTTGTTTTGCCCCCAACATAATGTTCCATTCTTTTCAGTAAGCATGTCCACTGTTCTAAATATCATGATTAAATATATCAGTGGAAGTGGATGCAATGACAAGACAAAATGGAACATTACTTGAGGAGCAAAACATTATGTGTAGTTTTCTCACACTCAAAGAGATCCATCAGTTCATGGTACTTTTTAACAGTTTGGGATCTGGACACATTTGGGATAGCAAAGTACAGGATTACAGGATACAGACTCTCACCTGCTGGTTGTAAACCATTACAAATTTCAGTAAAAAACCGCCTGTCATACCCGTCACAATATAGCCATTCAGGTTCATCGTACTCAAGACCGTCGGCAAACGTGTATTTACCCTATCAATTAAAAAAAGACATCAGTGAAAAATAACGAGATTATAAAGATTTACTACTCTACACTGACTTTGTGTGACCATCCAGCATTAGGTCAAGAACTGCTATTGAATTATTATGAAAAATAAACATGATTCCTTCAACCAAATTATAGTTACTTCAGAAAATCTTTGACTAAGCCAAGAACTTTTACGAATATGCAAATGTTATATCCATGGACGATTCAACGAGAGTACCATGTGTAGTATGTTAATTGAACTTCTTTGACCAATGATATAGTAGAAAGCACTTGATGATTAGAGGGCGGTAGTCGTCGTGCCACGCATGCGCGAGATATATGGTTCTCATATAAACAAAGATGGCAACTTTGACTGTTGTGCAGATCAACGAGTACAAATTAAAACGCTACCAAGCTTTAGGTGATTGGAAGGTATCAAAGGAGTCACTGACAGTAATTAGTGCAAGTCGCGCCCAGGTCAAACCTCATACTTATGATTTCTATTAGAAGAGCGCGCTGGATTGTGGGAAAACTAATGTTTATCAATACAAATGTCGCACATGCACAGTGCGACGACCATAGACCTTTAAGTTAAAGGTTAAATTGTGTATACACAAATGAGATAGGTGATCACTATATTAAAAAAATCATGTAATACTTATACAAGGACACTAACTAGTTTTTTCCCATACGGACACTACTGCATCAGTATCTCTTAAAATGTACGATAATACTACTTACATCGACAGCTATTCCATTTTCCCACTTTGCAACATATTTACTTCCATTGGGAAAGAATATTGTGCCTTGTCCATGAAACATGCCGTCGTTCATCTCACCTTCGTATCTTGTACCAGTTGGGAAATCATAAAGTCCCTTACCTTCCATTCTGAGAGGGTGAAGAGTAGAAAAAAATTATTTTGCTTGGCTTTAAATAATTTGGTAATTCGTTTTACAAAATCGACAGTGAGAGAGATCACGCGGTGGATCAAACTTGAAAACAGTATCAGTTATTTAAATTTTATCTTTTCCTTCTTAACTAAAATATTGTTTGTTTATAATTCGGAAAATCAAGTCTCCCCGGCATCTTGAGTCGACTTGATACCAAATTCTGACAATCAGAATGCGCAATAATTACGATTCGATCTCACTGTTTATTACGACGACACAGGCCATCGTTAATATGACATCAAGGATGCAATCACGGCACACTTACCGCCCATTTTTGTAATCACCATCGTAGTTACTCCCCGTGTACTCCATTTTGGATTTTGTGTGTTTGTTGTCAAGCGACTCTTTCGCCCATGATGCATAGCGCGACACAACGCCCTCTTTGTCGCAAATGCGCATGCTAAAAAAATAATATTATTGAGGGCGTATATATAACTTTGCAAACATAGAAGCTTGTGTTGTAGGAATTGTACAGAATGGAAATTTGGTATACATGCTCAGAAATAAATGTTCTACAACTTGACTGTGATCAAATATTTCTTCTGAATTTGAGAGAAACGTTGTGTTGTGAGAAAGTTGCTACTGTTTTTTTTTAATCCCCTTTGTTCATGTGAAAGTTTCTCACCAGGTTACTTGTTTTATTGTTTTAGTTTGAAGAACAAATTAACGAGTTGTTGAGGTATTATGGATGTAAATACAAATCTCAACTTAGACTTGGTTTGTTTACATTCATTGCTTAAATTTCTGCAGAGCTGAGAGGATTCTGGCCTACTCTGCCCTCACTGCCAATGTATATACAGTTCCTTTTTGACACAGAAACCATATGGCGTGTTTGGGACTAGAAACCATAACATGACAGATCTACACAGTAGTCTTCCTTGTAGGAGTTCTAATATCAGAACATTCCCCGAAATAAATATTTACAATGAAACAGTTTTCCACCACAACCAGTGAATTTTGAATTGTATACTGTAAAATACTTTTTTTTAGCTGGAATTAATTTTCGCTGAAAAGAGTTCTGGGGCATTTTGTATAGAATTGATTTTTACTGATTTTTGAAGTTGAATGTAGTATATAGGTAAAAATTTATATTCGCTGGATTTTATATTCACCAAATTATTCCTTCAGTATCAATGTAGCAACAGGAAAACAACTAATTGATAATTGATCTGTGATTCAGACATTCTCTAAAGGTTACTTACTAAGCATGCTACTATAATAACCTACAGTAAAACCTGTCAAAACCGACCCCTGGATAAACCGACCTACTGTCAGAACCGACCGATTTATGTAGTCCCGAAATTTCTCCATAGACGCCTATGTTAAAACAACCTGTGAAATCCGACCACTGTCTACTCCGAACACCGACCGCATTGATCGGCCCCAAGTCCAATATTCACACTGAATACATCGACCATCCGACCAGTTGCACCACGTCCGCTGTCTAGTAATCCGGTCTGCCCGACCTAAAAAGTGTGCATTGTGTTGAATTTACCGTGAACGTCACAGAAACAATATCAAATCTCACACTACAAGTAACGTCCCGTGTAAAACAATAGCAACTGATTAAGTTTTTCACACCACACGCCATCGCATCGCGTGATGTCTGGACAGTGTAATGACCCCGGATATAAACAAATGATCGGGGTCATCAACTTCAATTGCGGTGAAGCACACTGCATTATCACTTCTTCAACGATCAAAACATTGAGTTTTCTTCTTTCCATAACGATTCTGATCGACAATTTTGTGCTTTCGAATGTTTCCGTAAAGGGGGCTTCAAGATTGAAATTTATGATGACGAAGAAGCAGACGATGACAAAGAAT